GCTTTCGTCCTGGCCGTCAACCCGACCTCCCCGGAGAAAGCAGCCCCCACCCCGGGAAGAACGCCGTGGAACCGCCCAGGGGCCAGGGGGCCGCCACCGGTTGTACCTGGGGCACACAGGGCTGCAGCAGCGGGTGCTCGATCAGCTTCCCGTTGGCTCTGTAGAAGCCAAGCAACTCCTCCAGGCCGGGGAAGAGCCGGCCCTTCTGCAGGTAGAGGCCGCCCTGGGCCGCCGTGGAAATGCGATAATGGCAGACCCTGGTCTGGGTCCGGACTGGGGTCGTGTGAAATGGAGACCATGTCCAACGGTGTCCTGCCTACCCCAGACTCCCACCCCCTCCAGACCATGAGCCCTCCCACCAAAGGGCATGGCTCACAGTGGGAGCATGGGCAGCTACGGACCAGGGACAGTCAGAGGGGACTGGGGGCCTGGGCACAGCAGGCACAGAGCTGGCATGGAGAGGGTACTGGAGAGATGCTTCAGTGAGAGAGAGAGTGAGTATGAGTGAGAGAGAAAGAGTAAGAGTGATTAAGAGGGAGTGTGAATGTGAGAGAGTGAGTGTGAAGGAGAGTGATTGTGGGTGAGAGAGAGAATGAATGTGAGTGAGAGTAAGTGAGAGAAGAATGAGTGAGAGTGAGTGTGAGAGAGAGAGCGAGTGTGAATGACAGTGAATGAGTGAGTGAGTGAATGTGAATGACAGTGATTGAGTGTGAGAATGAGAAAGTGAGTGTGGGTGAGAGAAAGTGTGAGTGTGTGAATGACAGTGATTGAGTGAGAGTGAGTGTGAGTGAGTGAAAGTGAGTGCGAGTGAGTGAGTGTGATGAGAGAGTGAGTGTGTGAGTGAGAGTGAATGAGTGAGTGAGTGAGAATGACAGTGATTGAGTGAGAGTGAGTGTGAAGAGTGATTGAGTGTGAGTGAGAGAGAGAGAGAGAGTGAGGGGGTTAACACTGACTGCAGGGAGAGCCGGCTGGTGGGCCGAGCGGAAAGGGCAGAAGAGGTCCAAGGAGCATTAACGGTTCATCAGGTGGCAAAGGGAACCAGTGTCTGGTGCCCACGTGCGTGAGTGACTAAGCGGCCAGGTGGTGGGTGACTGCGCGAGTGCAGGGGAGCTGGGAACAAACGGGTGACGACGGGCCTAAGAGCACGGATGAGTTAAGGCACAGGCAAGGCACAGATGAGTGAGGGAGTGGCGGAGCAGTGACCGCCCAGGGGGGTGGACCGTCGTACCTGACAGGGAGTAGTCCCCGACACTGCTCTCACTGGGCCGGACCAGGAATGCCCCTGGTGCGTTGTCGGGCAACAGGAGCAGCTGCTGGGCCTCCATCCTGTTGATGCCGCTGAAGAACCAGCTACAGCAGCAGGCAGCAGGCAGTGTGCCAGCAGCCCACATGGCCTGTCCCAGGCCACAGCCCCAGAAGCCACCTGCTTGGCTTCAAGGGCATCCAGGGTCTGGGGCCTCCCAGGCTGGCCCCCAGCAGCCGCAGCCCTGACCAAATGGTCCACTCATCTCAGAACCCTGCCACGGCCTGGCCACTGGCAGGCCCAGTTAGCTCAGAGTGGCCACAGGTGGCACTCCCTGGCCTGTAGACTTTGCTGGTCCCCGTGGGGTTGCTCAGGGAGCAGGGGCCTAGGGGTGCTGCCCATGAGAAAACCTCAGCTGGGGGGGGCAACATAGACTCATGGGACCTTGTTAGTTGCCTGCCCCCCATGAAGGCATGGATGGGGAAACAGAAGTGGCCCGGCTCTGCCCATCGACTTTCACTTCCCCATGGGAACCTCAGACTGACTCAGAGTCCCCACCCAAGCCTACAGTCAGTGGGCTGAGGTGCTGAGCTAACCTGAAGGAGAGGAACCAAGGGTAAGTCCAGTACTGAG